TTTACAAATTCCACAAACTTAATAGTTTACAGACTATAAAGAACCATTAAAATCAGCAGGGTGTAAAAAAAAAAAAGCTGGGCGGCGGTGGCGCACGTCTTTAATCCCAGCACTCGGGAGGCAGAAGCAGGTATATCTCTGTGAGTTTGAGGTTAGCCTGGTCTACAGAGCGAGTTCCAGGACAACCAGAGCTGTTACAAAAAGAAACCCCATCTCAAAAAAAAGAAAGGAAGGAAGGAAGGAAGGAAGGAAGGAAGGAAGGAAGGAAGGAAGGAAGGAAGGAAGGAAGGAAGGAAGGAAGGAAGGAAGGAAGGAGAAATTAGTACCTAGATATTCTAATTGCAAAACACACACACACACACACACACACACACACACACACACACACACACACACTAGAACGAGGGGGTGGGGAGGGAGGAAGAAGAGAGGAGGGGTAGGCCCCAACCGCGAGGAGACTGTGAGAGAAGAGAAAGAAAACGGAGAGGCAAGAAAAGGAGAGAAGAAAAACCTAAAAAGCAACCAGAAAGCCAGATCTGAGGGCACAGGCCTGTAATCTCAGTTTTTGAGAGGCTGATATAAGTGGATCACAAGTTCAAGGGCAGCCTGGAAAACTCAGACAGATACTTTCTCAAAATATAAAAGAAAAAAGGGCTGGAAATTATAGCTTTGTGGGAGTAGTCCGTGATCTAGAGTATCTGAAGTTCCAGATTCCATGTTCCGTACTGTGGGGGGTTAAGGGGGTCAGATAAGCTCTAAAAATCCTAACAGAAGCAAAATAAACACCTTGCAAGACAAGATCTCACACTTGTACCCATATCAAACCCTTCTTTGGGATTAGTGTATGCCACTAATCACAGCCTTTGATAGCGAGAAGCAGAAAAAGTCATGAGTTCAAGGTTAGCCTGGTCTACATAATGAACAACAGGCAAGACTATGTTTGGAAACAAATGAAAAAAGTTTTCTTAGTAAAATCCATTTTTTTCAAAATAAATCAATATTGTCAACCCTGAATTACGTATCTAGCATTCAACCATTATGGACTATATATTTATAAACAGAGGACATGTACAAAAAGTGACCACTTGGGACTTAAATCTGAAAAACATCTGTTTAGATTACAGTACAATTAAATTAGAAATAAGAAAGCAAATAGACAGATAAAGGAAAACTAATGTATACATACTCAAGGCCTGATCCCTAGTCTCTAAATACATCAAAATCTACAGTTCTCAGGACAAAATCCAAATTCCCATGCTCATACTGGCTCAAAGACACTGAAGGATATAGCTCCCTACTTTTTCCTCTCAGATGGTTAAACTTTTTTTGTCCCTTTTAAACATTCACCAGATTATCTTGTTCTTTTGAATCTGTAAATGGCTCAGCAGTTAGGAGCACCTACTCTTGTGGAGAATTGGGTTTGATTCCCAGCATAAGTTACACACCCACCTGTAACCTGCGTTCCACCATATCTGATGCCCTTTTCTGACACCCACAGGCATTAAGTATGCGCACACAGTTTACATACATACATGCATGTAAACACACACATAAAGTAAAAACACATCTTTTTGAAATAAATGCTATAGTCTGTCTCATTCAATATTCCATGAATATTTGACAATACAACATTTATAATCACAATATATATATAAAAATGGATCTACAGAAAGTTTACTGAAAAGAGTATTATATCTACTTACACATAAATCCAGGTCAGCCAAGACCACATAGCAAGAGCTTGTCTCCAAAGGAAAAAAGTACTAATAGTAAAATACCCAACAGAGACCTTGCAGGACTTCCAGTGTCAAAAATAAATTGAAATATTAATGATAACTTATGAATATATTACTTTTAAGGGATAATGGAAATATTTAAAACTTTTCACTCACAAGTTTTTCTTTCTCCAGTTTTTGCAGTAAACACTCCATGTTACTTCCAATTCTTGTCTTTTCTACAACTTCATAAAGGCTACAATACATCCCATTCTTTAAAACTAACACAAAGAAAAAATACACAGTAAAACATCAAATCAGGTCTGCTTCTTACATATTTAAGTAAAATGAAATTACCTTACCTTCAGTAGGACCCAAGTATGTGTCTTTATTAAACAATGCAGAAGGAATTTTCTGTTTCAAACAATCAATACTCATAACTGTTTCAACATCTAACTTCTCAGGACTGAAAGAAAATATAAGAGCATGTTTGGCATACCTGCATTTTTAACTTTAGCAATGTTATCAGACATATTAATACATACACTTAATAAGATACAGGCTGGGAATGCAATTCAATTGGTTCAGTGCTTGCCTAACATATAAAAGGCCCTGAGCTCAATCTCCAGTATCATATAAAACAGGTATGGTGATGCATCCTGTAATGCCAGCATCTGGGAGGTGTAGAGGGCAAGAGGATCACAGGTTCAAAGTCATCCTCTGCTACACAGTGAATTTGTAACCAGCTGCTACCTGAGACCTTACCAGAGGGTCAACAAAATAAAATACATCTGATGGGTAATGTATGCATTTATTAATAGTTTAACCTTATTCTAAAGAGATACCTGACACAAGAAGGTCAGGTATCTACACTCAAGTAAGTAGCAACTGGCAATACTACCAACATTATATCCTTAAATCAGAAGCTAATCCTACATGCCAAGTTTACTAATAAAAAGAATAGTTATCATTTACAGTTATAGTATGAGCTGGCATAATTCTCTTCTTCAGGAGATGCTGAAGATCAAACCCAAGAGTTGTATGGCAAGCAAGCATTCTACCACTGACCTTTATCTTCAAGCATTTACACCATTTTCTGCATATTAATAAGTAAACTTTTAATCCTAACATGCTATACGAATTATAAACTGTGTATGTATATTAATTTACCACATCAAAGCTCTTTTCAACAAACAAGAGTTAGCCACTACCACCCCTCTTCTGTTTTAAGGCAGACTTTCACCATGGTCTGCAGCACAGAAGTCTAGAGCTCACTATGCAGCCAACAATGTCTTTGAACTCAAGATCCTCTGCTTGAGCCTCCCATGTACTGAGATTACAAGTATGTTCCACCATACACAGCTAAAAATGGCCAACTCTTAAGTCTATTACATACAATCTGCTTAAAAAAAAATCTAAGTAGAATAAAATTTTAAGTCTTTTAGACTTACAACCATTTAGAATAGACTATCCATCTGACTAGCATTCAAAGTTGAGAATCAGAGCTTTTTGATTGTTTGTCAATTAACTTTCTGAAGTTACAACCATTTTAGAAACACATTAACATTTATGTTTAAGTTTTTATAGACCACAGTAAAATTTAATATTGAAAAAAATAAATGGCCAGCAACCCAGGAATGTTGGTATATAATTATAGCCCTATCACACATGAAGTTGAAACAAGAAAGACTGCCTGAGCTATATAGTGAATTCCAATCCAGAATAAGATAAACTGAAATTTTTTAAAAACAATCAAAAAACTAAAACTCAGTCTCCTTAACTGCCAAATACTATTTTCTTTTTAATTTTTAAGTTAATTTTTAGCCTAGCTATATGAAATAAAGGGTTAAAGTGTCATTATACTTTGTTATCATTTATTCCCCTTCCTTATGATCCTCCCTCTGCCCCTCCTCACTATTTTATTTTAATGTTATATACTTACAGCTTGATAGGCAAAAAGGCATGAGTGGCTGACCTCAAAGAAATGTAACACAGAAGCTTTCCTTTATTTAAAAGTTGTCCTTTCCACAGTGTGTAGTAAACTCTTTCTAAACACAAGAAATAAGAGCCCAGTTGCTTGATAGCCCAGAAGGTAAATACTTATTAGAAATGAAAATGAAAATTTATCTAGAAATAAGGATTAAGTACAAAGTCAACACAGAAGTGACATATCCATCAGGGAAAGCTTCACAATGTTCAGTTAGGTTCAGTTATCTTTTTCCTTTAACAGAAACCATTCCAGCTTCAATGAACCATTCCTAGCCCCAACCCTAACCAATGAACCAACTTCAAAAAACTATTCCAACTTTCCAATGAGTCCCCTCATTAGAAAGCAACACAAACAATGTAGTCACTGTCCCAAAGGAGACTGTATTAAACCTGGTTAATATCTCCTCTCTTTTGTGATAAAGAAACTTAAAAGGCAGCATTGATTTCAATCTTCGTCATCAAAATCAAAAACCTCTGGTGAACACAATGCTTTTAAAGTGTTCAATTATAAAACCCAATTTATCTTTTTTTTCAATTCAAAGTGCTAGAAATTCTGGTCCATCTTCAGAAGCAGTAGCATATTCTAAAAAGACTCCTTATGTTTAAATGACCAAATACTGATGCTACATATAACATGACCTCACTTATTTTATATTTCATATTATTATGAAAATAAAAAACACTGAACTTATTAATTTTTCACTGTTTATACTTTCAACTTATAAAAGTAAAAAAAAATAAGACTCTTACCTATGTTTCTATCTGCATTAAAGTTGTTAGATCTACAAATAATTTTTTAAAAAGAAAGGAAAATTATTACTGATTGGAAGCAACATGAAAGTTAACATTTAGGACCCTGACATACTTTCTGTGTTTTTGTTGGTGCTGTTGTATTTTCCAGGACTGGGGATGGAACCTATAACCTCACACGTACAGCAAGCAATTTAAACTGAACTAAAGCACCAGCCTGTGAGTGTCATTTCCAATGGAACTACAGAAAAGAACAAAATTCTTGCAAGTAAGAAAACTTATTCTTTACAAAATAAGTAAACCTAATTCTTTGAGAAGTGCTTACTGTTCTATTACAGGCTTGCCAAAATTTATGAAAGCTGTTTTATATTTATCCATTTACAGACAGAAGACTATTAATACCTTTGTCAACTATATATATGTATATATACATATATATTTTAAGATATATATTGAAAATACGATTAGAAAAAAAGGCTTTTCTATATAAATACATTCTTAGCCATTTAACAAATATTTAAGCTCTTATTATTTATTAGGCATAATTCTAGGTAACAGAATTCTAAGTATAAACAGAAGACAGTTCCTATTTCAAACAAATTACAATCTAATGATGAAGAAAGGTAATTATCAACAAGTATAGTTTATTAGATTATGATTTCAAGAGCTACACAAAAAGATCAAGTACAAGAGTTTATATTATAAATAAATAAATAAAAACTCAAAAGAACATCCAATGATAGGAAAGGCTAGAGGAAACATAAGAAACAGCTATGCAGGAACTGGGGAAAAGGAATAGCAGTAAGTGTGGGTCCCAACGCAAGAGTACTCATGGCACACTCAGAGCATAGGGTAGATGTCTCATCAATGTTTGTCTGAATCAATTTGGGGGTCAACAGAAGGGATTCAACAAAGTAGGAAAAGAGCCAGGCAACATTCAGGAGGCAGAGGAAGGTGGATCTTTGTAAGTTTAAGACCAGTCTGGTCTACTTAGCAAGTTGCAAGACAGCCATGACTACACAGACTTTACCAAAAGACAGACAGACACACACACACATAGGAGATGAAAGGGGGACAGTTACTACTTTCAGGAATATGACTTTCATAATTATAAGTGGTTATGTCTTTTAAAGATCATCTATGAAAAAATACTATAATAAATGTGTTATGTCAGCATTCATATATATGAAGCAAAAGGAGAAACCCAACTCTGCATTATATGAACTGGTACTTGTAGAGGTTTTGAGGTCTCACTAAATATGGGGGGGGAAAAAAAGTACTGTATCAATAGGAAGGAACTGGTAGCTCATACCAATGCTCAAGAGGCTGAGGCAGGATCTTCTCAATCTTAAACCTGAGTTCTATCAATAGTAAGTTCCAGGCCTGCCTGGGCTATAGTATACAAGACAACTCTAGCTCCAAAAAGAAAAACAAACAAAACAACCAGAGTGTTCTTTATCAAGTGCATTTGACTTTAAAAGCCAACAGAGGTCACCCTATAAAGATATATTTGTTTGTTTTTTAGACAGTTTGAGAAGTTACTTTATGTTTATGAACTCAAAAGAAAATATCACCTGAGTCTTAAGACTAGGAATGTCTAGGCATTCCATAAAATATTTCATTTCTCTGGGAGAAAGCTTTATAGAAACTCGATTGTAAGAGAGGTAAAAACACAAAATTTCTGTTTGGGGAAGGCAGGGACTCACGTAGTAAAGATGGCTCCAAACTCACTGGACAGCCACGGCTGACCTCTATGTCCCAAGTGCTGGTAGTACAAGCATATACCACATAACCAGTTAAAATTTCATTTTTCAAAACTGCTATTTATTAAAGTACAGATAAACCTTCAAAAAAAAACACAAATAAACAAAAAACAGAAAGGAAGGGGGGGTGAGTAGAAGGGGGAGCCCCACAATTTAGTTGTTAGGTAAATAAAAGCACATTTTAGTTCCTATCTAGATAAGGTCAAAAAAGTTGAAGAGGACAATGATAACTTCTGAAGTATTTTTCTGTGTAAACTTGTCTTACCTCAGTGAAGACATAAACTTTGCCGCCTGTTTATCATCTTTGTAAGTAAAAGACACAACTGCATATGGACAAACATGTCTTGGTCTTTGTTTTAGTTCATCAAAGCCATACTCATAAAAATAATACTAAAAATAAGAAAGCACAAAATTAACATTTCAGAATAGGCAAGTAGTAAAGACAATATTTTATTAAGAAACATAAGTACCACCTAAGCAGCTCAGGCAGGAAAGGCTTGAGTTCATCTATTTCACCGAAACAAAAAATTGGTACTTTCTATGCATTCTATATACCAGATACCAAAGGTATCCCTTAAGTTTACTTCTGAAGCGATGACAACAGGAATGTGCGATTAACTTTCTAATGAAAATACTATACAATGGAGTCTAAGCTAGGTCAGCCCAGAAGTCAACTTGATTAAAAAAGTAAAATACTGCCAGGAAGCAGAGGCAGGCGGATCTCTGTGAGTCCGAGGCCAGCATGGTCTACAAGAGCTAGTTTCAGTTTAAGTCAGAGAAACCCTGACTTAAAAAAAAAAAAACAAAAAGTAAAATACTAAGGACAAAAATTCAGCCAATATTAAGTATTATTTTCTGTTAGTGCAAAAGACTATAAATATAAAAGTCAAGTTGATTACTTTCTCACCCACAAGCCTCTGCCCTTCCCCTCTAGTCATCAATGCTGGAGTTTTCTGACTGCAGAAAACTGAGAAAGGCGGCCTGAGTCTATAATCAAGTCCTTTTTCCTGGGAAATTACTAATTTCAATAACGTTTCAAAATTCTTCCAAAACATTTTTTTAATCTAAAGCTCTTGTTTATAAGTGCTAGAAAACCCAGTTACTAACTATATTTCAAGTCTACCAACAACATATCATCAAAAATAGTGAACTGAGGAAGCTCCTAATGCCTTTCATGAATATAATTTTGGTTAAAACCCCCAGTCATAGGTCTCCACTAAGACACTTCAACAATGAGTCAACAAACTATTTTCCACAAATACTGCAGAAAGCTTTTGTTATTATTTTATGCTTCTGAGCATTTGCCTATATATAGGTCTACCCTGGTGCCTGAGGAAGCCAGAAGGCATCTGGTCCCTTGGAACAGGAGTTACAGACATTTGTCAACTGTCAACCATCACATTCAGGTCCTCTGGAAGACTAGCCAATGACTTTTCTGATTTGCCTGCCAACTGTCCAGCCCCAACAAAAATTTTGAAGATTATTTCTAGGCTCACCATATATCACCACATAATACAAGAGAACAATGTCCACAACTAGATATCTTACACTACCAAGTAAAAACCCTCAGGGCCAATAACGGGTTACATCTTGAGTTGTTGGCCAAAGAGGCACCTACCACAAACCCATCCAAACAACACAGGTGACTGCCAAGTTTACTGGTTACCCTCTACAACCTGATGATAAGGCCCTACTGCTGAAGACATTATGTCAATTAAACATGCAAGAAACTGGGCTTGTACCCAACTATTCATGGTGCTGGAAAGTACACGCTACCAGAGAAAAATCAATCATCAGTATTACTCAGCTATAAACTTTGACCTACAACAGCAATTTGCTTGAAAGATATTTGGTTAATAACATTTGAACCACAATTGCACTAGCACTTGGATTGGATTAAGATACACTTCATGAGATGGAACCCTCTCACTGCTAAGAACCTAAGACTAAATAAGTCATGGGTCCTAGTGGAAAATGTACTACTATTACTCTGCTAAATAAACACATTAATAAAATGATTCCTAATGACATACGGTTATAGCCATAAATCAGTGCATCACTCAACCCTCACAAAATAAGCTTCTTGTAGTAGGTGGGAATTTAATTAATAGAGACCTACAACTGGAAAATGTGTGGAGAGAGATACATTGTAGCACTCGGTACTAAATAAAAATGTCTTTATCAAACTCCTCCCCACTCAAGGCTCAGGATCAATGCAAAGAGGAGGCAGAAAGATTACAAGAGCCAGACATGGTACATGACTCCAAGGAAACAGCATAATCTAGCCAGAACAGGACTGATATACATATGAACTCACCACACCAGACCTACACAAGTTCAAAGCATATAAAAATCCCACCATGAAAAAGGGGAAGTAGACACAAAGTACCACCCCTAACTAAGAAGACAGTTGCAAATAATTGATACTTGCTAAGTTTGAGACCAAGCTGAACCTACATAAGACACTGTATCAAAGAAGAAAAGAAAAGAAAAGAAAAGAAAAGAAAAGAAAAGAAAAGAAAAGAAAAGAAAAGAAAAGAAAAGAAAAGAGGGCTGGAGAGATGGCTCAGTGGTTAAGAGCATTGCCTGCTCTACCAAAGGTCCTGAGTTCAATTCCCAGCAACCACATGGTGGCTCACAACCATCTGTAATGGG